TGCTATTGAGTAGGTTCCATCTCATAGGGATCCTGTATAGGATTTCTAAGCAGTGACTCATGGCTTTGAACTGCTTACCTTGTAGTTAGCCAACCAGTGCTTCGTCTACAGCACCACACCACTGGGGATTGGATGTAAAATGCTCAGATTCAAATTTGTTTTTCATTTATTGGCTGAAATATTTATATAAAAAAGTTTCCTAATGGAATATCTAACTTCCTTGAGGTAGAATTATAATAAAAAAAGACTTTAACTTGATTCTGTATGTACCATTCTTTAAAATGACAAACTGATTCCTCCCAGCATTATATAAAATGAGTATTGTATCATTAGGAACTCTGAGATTTTAAGGGCATTTGATATATTTAAACCTATTTCAATTATTACTCATATAAACTCTCAAATTCATCATTGGCCAGTAGGAATTACTGCAACATGTCTCCTAAGTCTACCTGAAATGAACCTGGAGATTTCACATTTCTCTTCAGTTTGGTAGGAAAAATGTTCTAGGCCCATTTTACACATTTCCTGTACTGAATCTCCAACCAGCCATTTCTCCAGAAAACCATTTATTGCTATATGATAAAGGCCATATAGATTTCAATGCTAGTGAGTTAGCCATTGTTTTTAACTCTTTCCAGTAGATAAAACCATATAATAATATTTTTAAAATACAAGCCAATAGCACATTTATTCTATTCATAAAATCTAAATATTAAGTTTTACTCCCATCTATTTATAATCAAGAAATGGGGCAAATGGTTATTAAGCAACCTGCACAAAGATCCAGTTAGTGAGTGGCAGAACTAAGATTTGACTTCAGAAAGTATTCCTCCCAAACAAGGGTGCTTAAACACGTATGGCACAGCCTCCATAAAGTCTAAATATCAGCTTTCTATGACATCACTTTGGTTCCCTTGGAATAACACTAATGACTTCCAAATTCAAATTCTAAATCTAAACTAAAAATGATTGTAGCAGTATATTTACAGTGAACTGCCAGAAACTCAAG